TATCTCAAGTATTGATCATCACATTTGAATAAAGTGCTCTAGGACAATAGACAGCCTGATTAATTTGGGGTTAAAATCTGTTCATATTAATTCTCTAATTAGCATAATAATTAATATTATTTTGGTTCTAATCACCTTATTAGTTTTACACTTAAATCTGTTCATATTAGTTACCTAATTTGCATAATTAGTTTTCTGCGTTTCCATCAACATCTCAAGTTCAAGTAATTTTGAATTAATTTTGAATGTGTCTCCAATACTCTCAGCACACGGAAGTTCTTTCTAAGCTTTCTTTGATCTATATTTTAAAATTATTTTTTGAGTATGTTCCACTATTCACAATTCTACAAAATTTTAAGTCTATAGCCAAGACTGTTTGGATAATAAAAAGCAAGAACAAAAAATTTCACTCCCAAGTGCCCACGAACCTGCATCTCTACCTTGAAGCTTGGAAACGTCGCAGTGTGTACTGGTTGGTCTGCACAACAGTCAAAGTCGCCATCTTTGTTCATGAGACCCATATCATGCACATGCGTGGCATGGCAGCCAACCCCCTTTAATTTATTCTGTTGTCGCCTCACATTATACCTTGGCAGTACTTCCACTATAAACCTGTATTCACTCTTGACGAAATAAAACACATCTGCACATTCTCTTGTGCATTCCCATGGTAAGTCAAATGTTGTGATACATTTCCATGGGAAATCAAATGCAAAGTTGTGTGTTTATGTTGGTTAATCAATAATTTATATACCTCAACAAAATCTATTAGTTGAAGTTCGACAAAAACATTCTTTGATGCATCCAGCTCCTTGGCACCTAATCCAATCATTCAATTTAACTGAGGTCAAATACAGCTTTTCCCAACACGATCACACACAGGTTTGTAGATACGGAATTAGATACTGATGCAGTGGTAAACTAGAAATGTAAATATTTCCTTTCCATGTTTAAAATGCAAACTATTTTTTTTATATGCAGGTCAAATTTCAATGGATGAGTTTGGAGAAGCGTGCAAGATACTGGCAGAGCATATCAACAGCAGCATATCAGATGAACAAGTACGCGACATGGCGAAGAGTATCGATATGAATAAAGATGGATACATAGACTTTAATGAATTCCTTGAAGCATTCAGATTAGTGGACCCCCATTCTGGGAAAACGCTGGTCCCATCACGGCCAGGTTCTTCCAGAAGTATGTTGAAAGCTAATGGGAAGACGAAGTCTAAAGAAAATGTTAACATGGTATAGCAATATGGTACTGAAATGAGTTGTATGCTCTCACTCAGAAAAAATTTAATGGAACTAACCATTATATCCGGAGGGGTGAAAGGCCATTAATGCAGGTGCACACAGGAGTGAAGGTTATTGATACATGTGCACACAACTAAGAAGAACTGAAGTAAAACCAAATTTTCTATTCCAAATTGCTCTTTTTAAATATTTATTTCTCTATTTTACTAAATTCTGTTTAAATTGTACATATATCCCACTACTTTTATGAGGCTTTTATGTAACAGAAGATTGTACAGTATGTGTTTAATTAATACAGTCAAGGAAATTTGTACATATTATTGCGTAATCACCGTTTGTTTCACATTTCTCTCTTATTCACATGTATACTGAAGCAGACCGGATTTAGAATAAAAGGCAACCACATGAATGTATAATTCATACAGGGTTTTCTGTACTATAATGATAATATTTTGGTAAGTCTATTAATTGATGATAGCAGCCTTGTGTTGATTGGCTTGATACATTCCATTAAATGTACAATATTTTATATTTGTTTTAAAACACTAAAATGTAACCCAAATTTTAAGTCAAATGTTACATGTTCAAAACAGATAATTCTTTGTAAATTGCCCTAGTATTTAATTCACCAGGGTTCCAAGACATGGAGTTACAGTAACTTTGGTGAAAACAATTCTCAGAATTGGCATTAATCATC